CAGAAAGCACCCTGGCGTGTGGGCGTGTGGAGGGAGCTCTCAGCTGCCCACTCAAACAGGCCTGAGAGGGAGAGGACAGCACACAACACACTCTGGGCAGGACTGGACCAGGAGGACAGCTGGTCTGACGGTTCAGGTCCGGTCCTGTCAGACCAGGAGGACAGCTGGTCCGGCGGTTCAGGTCCGGTCTTGTTGGACCGGGAGAACAGCCGGTCCAGTGGTTCAGGTCCGGTCCTGTCAGACCGGGAGGACAGCTCGTCCGGCGGTTCAGGTCCGGTCTTGTTGGACCAGGAGGACAGCTGGTCTGACGGTTCAGGTCCGGTCCAGTGGGACCGGGAGGACAGCCGGTCCGGTGTCGAGCTGACGGCACCGGGTTCACGAAGGGGCCTCCTGTCTGTGTGCTGCAGCCCTCGGCAGCTGTGGTCCCGCGCTGGTGCCTGTCGGGATGGTCCTGGAGGGCAGCTCGGAGGCGCTGTGCCCGCCGCCCTCGCTGGACCTGCGCCCCTCTCCTCCCCCGGGCTCCGGCCCCCACCCCCACGAGGGCGACCGCGAGGCGGCGAAGTACGGGGAGCTCATCGTGCTGGGGTGAGTGATCGATCGCTTCGTAGACTTATTGATTCTCTTGATCCATTGGTTGATTGCTTGCTTGATTGATTAATCACTTGATTGATTATGTGACGGCCTGATTGATTGATTACTTGATCCTTTGCTTGATTAGTGGATTGCTTGATTGATTCATCAGTGGATCCGTTGGTTGATTGCTTGATTGATTAATCACTTCACTGATTATGTGACCGCTTGATTGATTGATTACTTGATCCTTTGCTTGATTACTGGATCGCTTGATGGATTCATCAGTGGATTCGTTGGTTGATTGCTTGATTGATTAATCACTTCACTGATTACGTGACCGCCTGATTGGTTGGTTACTTGATCCCTTGCTTGGTTGATTGATTCATCAGCCGATCCATTGGGGGACTGCCCGATCGATTAAACACTTGGCTGATGACTCGATCTCTTGATCTCTTGATTGATCACTGGGTTGACTGGTTGACTCGCAGGTACAATGGCTGCCTGGCGAATGGGGACAAAGGGAGGAGGAGGAGCCGCCTGGCGCTGTACAAGAGGCCGAAGGCTAACGGGGTCAAGCCTGACGTCATACACAACATCTCCACCCCGCTGGTGTCAAAGGTCAGGACCCCGCCTTGAACTCTGACCTCTGAACGGCACGGCACCGGTGGTTGTAGGAATACTGTATCGGCAGCAGAATCCAACGCCGTGAATTATCTGTCAGCTGCGCCCCGTCCTCAGGGCTGGTCCAGGTCCTGGGGGTGACACCAGTTTCTCCTGGGAGGGGCGTTTCAGCCTGTTGAGTCAGTTTGTGGTCACTGATCCCCCGGAGAGTACATCGGTCTCCTGGCAGGATTCACGGGGCGGTTCGTGAACCCCTGAAGCAGATGACTGATCGAATGCAGCCGTTCAGAGATCACTTGCATTTTAAAACGCCAGCACCTCGTGGCTCTCGGTGAGCACAGCTGGCTGTTTTTGACTGAACTGAACTACTTTACATACCAGCTGATCAGATCTCTCCTGTGTTCCAAGTCCTTTACCGACTCATGGTTTCGGGGTGACCTGTGGGCTCTGTCACAGCTGTGGGACTGTGTATGGATCCCCTGGACGTGTTTGTGTGTGTGTGTGTGT